ACTGATCCTCTACATGAGAATTGTTTCAGTTGGCATCATTTCAGCTAAAAGGTAGTTAATTTCAACCTAAGCAACCTAATTTCCATTCAGTTCACTTAATCAGTGCCTAGTTTCTTTTCATAAATGTTTGAGGACATTTTAAAATACAGTAGTCATATCTTGAGGGAGAGCAAAAAGGGTATTTTACTGTCAAGTCAGGGCCTAAGTGGAAAATTGTATATACTCAAAATCATCTTCAAAAAGTCTCCCCAGAACTTCCAGGACCCAGTTCTTAAAAGGTCAAAAACCCAAGAATTAACTTGATGTTTCTCTTTGCACTCAGCTGTGGCCTCCATCTCCCTGGGGAAGTAGAGACCTAGGTCTGGTTTGAACTAGAGGAAAGCAATAGAACAAAGGGACTGTTCTTCTATAAAGCAAACGGGCATTACAGACCAGCATGATGGCACTCCACTGTCATCTTCATATATAAACAGAACAGTTTCTGGTGACCAAGACATTCAATTAGCTTAACATGACAGACACTTGATCAGACACTTAAAAGTCACATGCTTTACTAGTGGGCATAGCAAACTTGATCAAGTGTCTCATAATATGTTTTTCTGTTAACTAGGTGGAATTTGTTAAAGAACTCCCAAAGACAATCACTGGGAAAATCAAACGCAACGTTTTACGAGACCATGAATGGGGTCGAACCTAGCCTGATGAGAACACCGTGGCATTAAGCAGTTAACAGGGCTGCTTTCTTTTAGTCCTTGCTTCCCAATAATTCAGTGACTACCCTCTTAAAATGCTTACGATCTTTCCTGGTTGAAAAACTCTACTGGGTTTTTGTTTTGCACTTCGCCAAAAAATAAGTAAGTAAAAATCTAAAAATATTTGGGAAGAAAATGATGACCAAACAACAAAGGCAATGATAAATGGCTTGTAGTGTTTAAAATAGCAGGAGTCAAATGATTAATTAGAAAAACATAATGGACAATGAATTTATCTTGTGCCTGATTAATTCAAAATAAAGATTAGAAGTATTCTAAGAGAAATGCTCAAGACACAATTTCTTCTACTTTAAATCTTTATATGCTACTAATTCTTTAAGGTGAATCAAAACACTTCTGATAAAGTAAGGACTCTAAAGAATTCAAAAATCAATAAATGAACTTAATTAAGTACTGTACTATATACTTCATTTTGAAGCAAACTCACTATAAAATATCTAACACTTGAATTAGACATAAAATTCTTAAAAGTTTTTAGTTATTGAAGAGAAACTAATATTTGTATATTTACTTTTTGGGCAATACACATGATACATAATTTGACCTAAAAACATCTTTTATGATTAAACTACTTTATAATTACTTTATAAAAGCAAGAGCTTTACTAAGAGGCAGAAAGAAAAAGTAGAGATAGAAAACACTAGTCTTTAGGGAACTAATTTATTTTTATTTTTCTGAAAACATTAGGAACAATCAAAAAAAAAAAAGCTGAATATCTGGCCATATCAAAAGCAAAATACAAGTAAAAACAACATTCAGAAATCATGTTTAATCATAGAGAAATATATTTTAAAATGTCAAATTTAATACTTTCCTCCATAAAGCAAAACAAGTTTACTAAACCACAACACTTAAGTGGAGTTTAATTTTTTAAAATAAAAATTGAGAAAAAGCACTCCATTCCCACCCTGGATTCCCATCATATATAAAATAATATGCTCAAACATTAGTGGAAACAAACAACTGGTAAACTTGAAAATAAATCTTTCAGTGAATGAACTCAGATTCTGACAGAACAGAACTCAGATTCCAACAGAACACAGTAGTACCTTGTATTTGCAGAAGAGCTTTTGTCACACTTAGGCCTTACCAAATACAAATATAAAAGGGGATTAAAAACAAACTACTAAATCAAAATCTTTATGTAGAGCAGCAGCTTTCACAAAATAAAACGAACTTAGTTCCATACAATTGTATGCATACAGCCAATTTTATTCCCAGAGTCCCAGAGTCTTGTACTATCAAAATAAAAATATCTTTGTCTTGGAAAGTCTGATGAAGGCACCAAAATCCTATTATTCACGTTCACCCAATGGTACTTAGAATGCTTTTATTATCCTTTCAAGGTAACTTCAACTTATTAAGAGTTAACATTCTAAAGATATATAAGGAAGTGCCAGCCTCATCTGCATTAGCAAGGTCCTTTCTACGAATATAGCATGGGTTGGCCTGTTCATTCACCTCTGACTCTTTGCAACCCCATGGACCATAGCCCACCTGGCTCCCCAGTCCACGGAATTCTCCAGGCAAGACTACTAGAGTGGTTTGCCATTTCCTTCTCCAGGGGATGGATATTCCTGACCCAGGGACTGAACTTGCGTCTACTGTGCCTCCTGCATTGGCAGGTGGATTCTTTGCCACTGAGCCACCTGGGAAGCTATTCTCTTTGCCCCATCCCAAATTCTTCTGGTCTGGTTAACCAGCAGAATCACTAGCTTAGAAGGATAAAAATTATTTCCATGTTCACTAGCCAATAAACAAATACAGCCATTGGTGCAGGAAGACTTAACAGTTATACTGCCAAACTTGTTAAAAAATAAATCCAACTCCAAAAACTAATTTCACAACCCCTCAGTATTCTCAATTCAGATATTTTATTTTGCAATCCTCTTTGTTATCTCTCTTCTTTTTTCAGTTTTACCCAGGAGGAACCCCTGAAAAAACTTGCAAAGTATGTGTGTGTGAGCACCAAGTTGAAGGATACTCATGTTTCAGAGAAATCCACAACCGTGAGATTAGGACTCAGTTCTTCCTCTCTCAGTGACAAAATCTCAGGCTGAGATTTTGAGAAAGGGCTCCTCACCCAGTCATATAGTGTTGGGAAAAGGAGAGGAACTGCTATTTAATTTGGTTTTGCAATTCTTCAAGGAGAGTTTAAATAAGGCTTGAGACGTTGCTTTCTTCATTCTCAAACCCAAGTGTCTATGGAAATCAAGAGTGCCTTATGCAACATAATTATCCCAAAGAGTCAGTTTCTTTTAATCCAAGACTCCTGTCACTTTTAAGAAAAATATATTTTTCTCCAGGTCCTCATAAAAACAGCTCATTTGTTCTTGCAATGAAAAAATGTCTAATTAGACCATTCTTCATCTTCAAAGCACTTAGCAAAATCTGGCCTAGTGTTTTCTTGTACTTAGAGAACTTACTGGTAATTCACTTTTCAGCTCAAATATCCTGTGGCTAACTCTTCCTCAGATAAGCATTGGATTTCTGTATGTAAGAGATTTTATTTACATGCTCTTCGTTCAGGTTTTAGTTGGTTCTTTTGTTTTAAAAACATTCTTGCATAAATGTATATTTAATTAAGTTAACCACTTTTGTAGCATTATTTAAAACTTTCATCTCTATGCTTTTTATATCTCCAAGTTTTTTCTTCACACTGTGAAGAAAGCAATGTGCTGTAATCACCAAAGTCAGGATATTCTTTTATTAAAGTGATGCAAAACTTGTCATGCAGCCAGCCACTGATGGGGCACTAGGAGTACAGATGACAGACCACTGAGTTTTCAGATATGAAGACCTACTAAATCTTATTGACCACTGTTTGGAGAGGCTCCTAGCAACTTAGTTTTCTTGAATTTACAAATCATTTTGTATTGAATTTTCCGATCATTTACAAATCTTACAAATGCTACAGCATGACAAATATTCATGAAACCTGTTGATTCATCAGCTCACACAGAGAAGCTGCTGCTTTTAATACAAAACCTCTGTAGCATCACGTAAGTCAATTTATTATACTGACAGTAAAGTCTTTTCAATTTCTTGTACTCCTTCTTGATCTAGCTAAATGTTGGTATTATTAGATTCTTATCAATTATGTGAATTTTTCTTTTCTGGAAAAAATTATACCACTAAATAATTTGCTTTCGAAACCTTTTCACTGAATGTGATTTTTCTGAACAGAAGTTTTACTGTCCTGGTATTCCAAAGCCATTAAAATAATCATCTTTATTTGTCAAGGGGCTATGATTTATAGTTACAACTGCTAAAACAAATATTCAGTTTGTAAGTTGCATTTCACAAAGGATAGTCCATTCTAATGGAATGGGACAGCTTGGATTATAAATCCCTTTACATTGTAAAGTAGCCTACAGTATAAAGCATTTGAGTCCCTGTTGAACTAGTGGACTGCAGTGACTCAGAAAACACATTCTTTATAACCAACCTTATCAGAAATGTCTGTAATTCTATGCCTAGAATGGAGCATTTTTCGTTCAAATCTTGCCTTCAAAAATTGCACCACTGCACCATCAGATTTGTTTGTGACAAATGTTATTAAAACATAAAAACGAGCATAACTTCCACTGTAGGGGTTATAGGTAGGATCCCTGGTCTGGGAACCAAGATCCCACACGCTCTATGGTGCTGTCAAAAAAAGGGGGGTGGGGAGTGGGATAAAAACAAAACAAGAAAAATCCCAAAAAGTAAAAAAAATTCACAAAACAATTCACTTCTAACCTATACAACCCATGTTTGTCCAATGTTTATAACAAAAAGTGGCAGCAGACAACTGAGTTGCAATACACAAAAATTCCTTTCTTAGAATGGAAATTTCCCTCTTGAGTGTTGATTTCACAGAGCCTGTTCACTCCTGTAGGTCAGCTAGTAGTGCAGAAGGGGAGAGTGGGGAAGGTAATCATGAGGGACAGGCCAACATCATTCCCCTACCACCCTCTGCTCTGTGCAGTAGTGTTCACCAATTTATCCAAAGTCTCTTCTAACCCAACCAAATGCATGTGGGCCTACTGCACACTGCCATATAGGGTTGAAAGACCTCTAACAAAACTATTAACACAGCTGCTCCACTACTGTGAGTAAACGATTATGCAGAACTCAATATCGAAAACAGTATTTTTAGTCACAATTTTATATGGAATCCCAGCAATATCTCACAAAACTGCAGTTGAAAAATCCACCTCCAACACCGAACAATTTCTTTTCCTATCAGAGATCATTTTCATTTGATTCAGATCCTTCTGTGACTTGACTTGCAAGTTCAGGTTTAGGTTTAGCCACCCCCTCAGTCACCACCTGTGTCTCAGATATTGATCCTGTTGGACCCAGCTCCTCACTGTTCTCTGGTACCACTTGCTGGTTATTTTTTCCTTCTGCTGGGTCATTTTGACTTGATTTGTCACCAGATTCCAATTTAGCTTCTTTCCCATTTCCTGTTTGTGCTGCCTGCTTTGGGTTAAGCTGTGACAAGTCCTTAGCACTTTTCACCACCTCCTGGAGATTGTATTTTCTGAACAACATGTAATCTTTCACAACACTCAGGCAACAGACAGCTTTAATGATTTCTACTACCACTGTGTACTGTGGATTGGTAAGATCCACTTTATTTTCCGAATTGAGGCTTCCTACTATTCCTGTAACAAAAAGGAAAATAAGATAAAAAAAGATACCATTAAGCTTGGTGGATAGAAAAACAATCTTTCACCTCCCCCTATTTAGAATTTGTTAAATTTATAGCTAACCTTATCAGAAATGTAGTTGTTGAAACACTACATATACTAGTAGTGTTATACTATACTATATCTAACTACCAAAAATAATCTCATACCCAACATATTGAAAAGTTAGGCTTGATATTATTTAATGACATTTTAAAACACTTGCTCTCACTCAAAAATATAAGCCCTAAATATTAAAAAAAAAATCTTAAAAGCAAATATTTACCATGGCACACCTTTGCAAAATCACTAAGAGAAACATACCTGCCAATTCTTTGATAACTTCTTCTCTATTCATATGGCTGTTATTCCGAGATTTGTATACAATCTGAAATGTTCCTTTGTTTGGAGCTTTAAACCATGGTTCCAAAAATGTTTCTGCATATTTTTTCATATCTTCTAAGAAAGCCTTGCATGTGCCTGAGATGGGCAACATTCGTAGAATAACCCGAGTCTTCTTCTTCTTGGTTTTGTATATATCTTGGAGAATATGATGCACCAATTTCTCAGGTTCTAAAAGAAAAAAATCAGCACAAAACAAACAGGTAAGTTTCAAAGTCCTCACGCATTGTAAACTCTTCAAACTGTCTAAAAAGAATTTTCACTGGCAGTGACATAAACTGACGGTAGATTAGAAAAACTTATGATAAAGAATTTTAAGCAAGTTTAACCAATCATTTCTTCCAACTAATATTTCTTTGGTGCACTCTGTATTAATACTGTATCTAATATTTTAACTCTGCTTTTATCAAAAACAATTGTTCATGAAGACTCTGGAGTTAACCTATTCGTGATGTCTGATTTATCTGATGACAATGTCATCCTGTTGTTTTCCTATAACAGCAGCAACAAACTAATAAACATTAAATAGAACATGTTTTACAAAAACAAAAATCTTCAAGTCACTTAAGATTTAATCAATCCACTAGCTAAGTTTGTACAGAAGTCTAGATTTCAGAGTCATCCCTGAGCCACAAGATCATAATGCAGTCCTTAGGAAGCATCCTGACTACATACAATTCTATTTGGGGCTGTTCAGTGTTTTCAATATTTTTAAATTAGTTAGCTACATTTAGAAACATAGAAACTTCCAGATTTCCAACTTCTTTTGAAAAATCGGAAGTGGCAAACCTAGGTTTCTACTCCTAAGCCCATGCTAGTCCACCACCCCATTTCACCCTTCCACATGCCTAGCGCCAACACAGTACTCACACAGAGAGGATGCAACCAAATGATTAACTGAGCCATGCCCATGAAGCCATTTTGTAGGCAGTGTTCTGAGACAGGGTGATGTCCTGGTATTAGAGGATCAATAATCTTAAAGTGTATTAGTCAGACACACCTATCCCAAGTGTCCTGATGAAGACTACATTATTCGCTCCACTCTCCACTGACTGGAATCTTCTTAGCCTCATCTCTGTGGATGCCTTAATGTCACCAACTTCTTTCTTCAAGGCAGCTTCCACATCATCATCTTCTCCCTCACTTTCAGAGGGTTGTTGATCCTTATCTGCAAACTGCTTGCATAAAATTAATGAGCAGAAATGCCACAACAGCTCAAGTTAAAAGCTCTTAATTAACTATTTATGTAAACGCCACCCCCAGGGGCAGAAGATGCAATATTAACAATAAAGTTTTTTATTTAGACACCACCTACTCCAAAATGTGGAGAAAGAAGGGAGTTTCCTCAGACTACCATACATACCATTTGAAAATGTTTTCTAAAGCATCTTGACAGTCTGGGACAGAGGGAAATGTGCTCACCAGATGAATCATTTCAGGGTGGACTTTAACCCTATCAACAGATATCTCTGTGCCTGATATAACACTCTCCTTTCATAAGATTAAACCAAATAGTTATGAAGTTAAAAATCCTTTACACTTGTACTACTGAAATAGTTGAAGAACTTGCTCAAGGTATCCACATAGACAGGACATGCACTTGTTGCCCAGTTCTCGGCTCCACTAGTGATGAATGTGGTTGCCAATCAGGCACTAATCTTACACATTTATGGAGCTTTTTTTGTTTACAGGGATGTTATATTACATATACATGCAATTTTTTTAGCCAACTTTCCAAAGTCCCATAACATTCTTTTTATGTAGCTCAGCAGAATTAAATAACATGTTCATTCTCTGAGCTAGTAAACGACAGTACCTTACCTGAATTTAAATTAAATAACCTTTGTACTATGCTCCTCCATTTAATTCCCTGGGGTGTGCATGTGTGTGTAATGGTCCGAATCCTAAACCAATAATATAATTATTTCCAAAACTGAACAACTAGATTTCATACAGTTTTGTTATAAAATATTTTTACTGCTTGAAATCCATTTTTATATGCATTTGAGAAGAAACTAGCACTAGTACCCAAACCACTATTTTAGAGATGTTACTGCTTAGGACAAACACTGTACATTACAGCCATACTGTTCCAAATGGTGGCAAAAACCTTAAGTACGAACCAGTGTCCTGGTGAGCAATACTTCCCAAAGCTAAGATGAGAAATAGATGTTTCTGAAAGAGCTGCAGAAACAACGCCTGAACCGAAAGAAGCAATCTCTACCTGGAAGCCACCGTGATTAACAATGGGGGTGGAAAACAAAGAGATGCAACCATTTCAAGCACAAGACGAGGTGGGGATGGGGCAGGCGGGGGGAAATATACCTAGGCGAGGCCACGCCTCCTCACCGCCACTCTGGCGGCCAAATTCACGCAACTAGCTTGCCACGCTTCCCTTCTCCCTCAAAGGCCTGCCCTCCCTGGGACTGGTACCTTTTCTGGTCCATACATATCGTCGCCGTATTCGTTGAGCAGGCTATAGGCCTCCTCTACGCACTTGCGCTCGTTCATGTTACAGGTGATAAGAATGCCCTGTAGCCCGGGCTCCAGCTGGCGGGGCCCACCGCCATCCCAGCGCCGAGCCCGCTTGGCCTGCACATACTGAGCCTTGCCTTTACGCTTCCCGCCGCCAGGCTGAGGAGACTGCTGTATGCGGGCCGCCATGTTAGGTTAGCGTTGAGGCCAGCAAGAAACGTGTTTCTCCACAGCCCTGGCCGCTGCTGGCGCGGGCTGATTACGTCAGCCGTGTGCGAAGACCTCCCCTAGTCCCTCCCCCGAGCCTCATTCCGTTCTACGCCGGGTCCTAATGCCGGTACTAAAGAGCGGAAGGCTGGGGCGCAGTGGCGTGAGGCCCGCCTCTCGCCAGGACCGACAGTCACTCGCCTTAGCCTCACCTCGGGAAGAAGCTGTTTTCCCTGGTGTAGGGGCCGGCCACAGGTGGCAGCAGCTTACTGCATCCAGTATCAGCAAATCGGCAGCCCTTTCAGCAGTGGCGGTAGTGGCAGTTTCCAGAACGTTAATGCCGGTTCAAGCCTCCAGGATTCCCCAACTGGAAAGCCAGTGCGGAGAAGAAGACAACAAGCCGGGCAGTTAGGCAAAGAAAAGGAGATTTATTAAAGCGAAATGAAAGAGTGACTGGCTCTCGAAAAGAACCCACCCTTCTGGTGAATCCTACTTATACCCAGTAGAGGGAAACTGGGTCCCCTGAAGTGGGGTGGTTAGCTTATCTTTTTAGCCTTCAAGTGGAGTTTGGCAGTCACGTAGTCTTGAGAGAGCCAGAGGTGTCCCACGGTAGGGTGATCTTATAGTCTTGGGAAAGTAAGTGCCAGTGGTGAAAATGGGATGTTGCTTGGGCAATGTGGTCAGTTTCATGCGTGACTTTATCTTTTGTTGGCGAGGTTAGCACAATGAGGCCCCATGCAGACCCTATCACCAAGCATCTTTGGCATCTGTTCCTCCAGCCTTCCCTATAATTCTATCAGCTTTCCAAAAGTTTCCAATAAATTCCTTTTTAGCCTAAATTTGCCAGAATATGTTTCTATATGACTTACAACCAGGAATGGTGGGTCACATAAATGTTTCACACTGCTTTCTCTGTGATTTTATCCATAGGCTCAGCAACTATCATGTTAATATATTTATCTTAAAAATCATTGAAAAGATACCCGTTTTGAGGTATGTGTTCAGGAGGAGTAAGTGCTCCCCACACTCACCCACAGTTACTACTCAGGTACAAAGTTGTTGCCAGATTTGAGTTGCCACAGACCCTAAAGGAGGTAATCTGCAAAAGGTGGACTGAACTTAGAGTCAATAGTCTTTTATTATTGGTAAACAATCTTTTTTAGCCCCAGGTTTACCATTATTTCAAGAAATCTTATCACCATCTTCCTTTTTGCTTTCACTTTTGCTGCCACCTTTACTTTTCAGAATGTCATCTGTGGAGTTTGCATAGCATATATTTCTGGAGATCCTGAGCTGCTTGTGAAAAGCAGTTGCATTACACTGGCCATGCTGTGGTGTTGTAGCAGTGGTCCCACATGGGACCTAAGGCATAAGGGGCCTTTCCCTCCCTGGCTTTGGCCTGCATGCTCGTTGAAACAGACACCAGCTGTAACCGTCCCATTGAGCAGTGGTCAGGGCACCCCAGTGGGACCGCCCCTCCCACCCAACCAAGTGAGCAACTGTCAACCAGCAACCACCTTATAGCCCTGTTTTGCCATTGGTTGGTACCACTGAAAGCCCCTTCCCCCTCGCTATTGTATAGAAAAGGACCCTGAACCCTGCGTGAGATGAGATGGTTTTTGGAGACTCTAGTCTACCATCTCAGCCTGGTAGCCTTCTAATTAAAGTCATCATTCATTGCTCCAACAACTTGTCTGTTGATTTATTGACCTGTCATGTGTTGAGCAGAATGAGCTTGGGCTCAGTAACAAATTTTGGTGAGCCAGCCAGGAGCCATGCTGCTCGTGGTGAGCTGACCCCACTTGGGGAATTTTCAGGTAAGGCCCTAGCAGCTGCCAGTACATTTGTCCTGAGGATCTTCCCTTCAAAATTTCCTGAAGTGGCACGGGCTGCCCCAGTGCTTGGCAATTGGAGCAAGGAATTGACATTTGGGAGCTGACAGGCTCCATATAGTAAGGTAAGTTGCTCTGGTGTGTACGGCTGGGAACATATTCCCCTCTCAATTTGGGCTTTTCCTTTAAAGGAAAAGCCAGCTTTCAGGGTACCCTTTTGAAAGGGGGAATTGTTGAATTTACCTGATTTTGTGAACTGGTTCATTTGCTTTTGTTTTTTGTGTCCATTCATAATGGAATCTGTTTGTGCCTTTGGTTTTAAATTTCTGTTTTGTGATTCTTGAACTTATCAAATAGGGGAAATATTCCATCTGTCCCTAAGAAAAGCCCTTTGGGCTGTATCCTAAATAAGTAGGCAAGATATAGCTGTGGGCCCATGACTAAGAAAGAGATGATAGCCTGTTGTAATGGTGTGTGGTCCCAGTATACACTAGAATCAGGAAATCGATGGCCCTTAAATGGCTCACTTAATTATATGATCACACAATTAAAATTGTTTTGTGAAAGGGCAGGTAAAAATGATGAGATTCCATAGGTAGAGGCATTGATGCTATTACATCAGGAAGAAAAGTCAGATGGCTACTGCCTTATGGTGCAGCAATCTGGAAGGAACCATCTATTCTACAAGAGGGAGAGGGAGAAAGTGAGAGTGAGGATATTTTGTTTCAGAACTTAAACCCAACTCCTCCACTGGTGGAGCCACCAGTATATCCCCTCCTTGTGGAGATCAGTTAGGGGTTTCTATGTTAACACTCAGGGCACAGGAGCCTGGCTTGGCATCATCCAATTGGTAGGGAACCCAGTTTGGATTGGGAGCCACTTCTAGAGCAGGGCAATTTCCCTTGCACCAATATGCCATCAGTTCAGTTCAGTTCAGTCGCTCAGTCGCCTCTGACTCTTTGCGATCCCATGAACTGCAACAGCCTCACTGTCCCTCACCAACTCCCCGAGCCTACCCAAACTCAAAAATAAAGCATCCAGCAAGAGGCAGTGGAAGGGAAAAGGAGCAACCCTTCCCACCCCCCTTGCTAGTTTTTAGCAAGGTATTATATACTTTTTCAATCGGTTACTAATAATAGATCAAGGTTATAAAGGTCTTACCAAACCCACTCCCACAACATACATTTTAAGATAGCAAGATTAGCCAGAAGGAACAGGTTTCTGTAAAGAAGGAGAAACATGTCCTCCAGAGCAAGATACATTGTTTCATTAACATAGCTTTAGAAGGACATTGGGACAGTCTCATTAGCAAGATATATGGGTTTGTTGAGCAATTAGCAGCTCATGGTTTGAAAAAGTTAGTTTCAGGTAGTCGGCATAGCAACACAGGATTCAAGGTGCCTCTTACATGACTAAGGCCCAGTGAAGGAATGTAGAGGAAAAAAACGTCCGCTGTTTGTCCATTCACCTCTTCTCTTCGTTTGGGGACCTGGAGGCCTACCTGATCATTAACTGTTTTACCATAAAGACAAAGTTACTCCCAGCTCTGGCCTTAGGACTACCAGACTTAAAGAAACCTTTCAAATTGTATGTCCATGAGAGACAAGGCAAAATCACCGCTAATGGTGATTGCAGCCATGAAACTAAAACATGCTTGCTCCTTGGAAGAAAGGCTATGACCAATCTAGACAGCATATTAAAAAGCAGAGACATTACTTTGCTGACTAAGGTCCATATAGTCAAAGCTATGATTTTTCCAGTAGTCATGTATGGATGTGAGACTTGGACCATAAAGAAAGATGAGCACCGAAGAACTGATGCTTTTGAACTGTGGTGTTGGAGAAGACCCAACTTTTGTGAGTCCCTTGGACAACAAGGAGAGCCAACCAGTCAATCCTAAAGGAAATCGGTCCTGAATATTCATTGGAAGGACTGATGTTGAAGCTGAAGTTCCAATACTTTGGCCACCTGATGCAAAGAACTGACTCATTGGAAAAGACCCTGATGCTGGGAAAGATTGAAGGCAGGCGGAAAAGGGGACAACAGAGGATGAGATGGTTGGATGGCATCACCGACTTGATGGGCATGAGTTTGAGCAAGCTCCGGGAGTCAGTGATGGACAGGGAGGCGTGGTGTGCTGCAGTCCACAGGGTCGCAAATGGTTGGACACAACTGAGCAACTGAACTGAACTGAATGTGGCCAGATGCCATGATCTTAGTTTTTTGTATTTCTTTTTATCTTAGTTTTTTTTTTTTTAATATTTAGTTTTAACTGGCTCTTTCACTCTCCTCCTTCATCTTCATCAAGAGGCTCTTTAGTTCCTCTTTGCTTTCTGCCATTAGAGTGATATCATCTGCATATCTATGATGTTTCTCCCACCTGTCTTGATTTCAACTTGTAATTCATCCAGCCCAACATTTCTCACGATGTGCTCAGCATATAGATTAAATTAACTGTGTGAGCCCAGACAGCCCTGTCACACTCCTTTCTCAATTTTGAACCAATCAGTTGTTCCATATAGGGTTCTAACTGTTGCTTCTTGACCCACATACAGGTTTTGAAGGAGGCAGAAAAGATGGTCTGGTATTCCCATCTCTCTAAGAACTTTTCACAGTTTTTCATGATCCACACATTCAAAGATTTTAGCATAGTCAATGAAACTGAGATAGATATTTTTCTGAAATTACCTTGCTTTCTCTATAATCCAATGAATGTTGGCAATTTGATCTCTGTTCCTCTTTCTTTTCTAAACCCAGCTTGGACATCTGGAAGTTCTTTGTTCACATGATGCTGAAGCCTAGCGTGCAAGATTTTCAGCATGACCTTACTAACATAGGAGATGAGGGCAATTGTCTGATGGTTAGCACATTCTTTGGCACTACCCTTCTTGGGAATTGGGGTAAGGATTGACCTTTTCCAGTCCTGTGGCCACTGCTGGATCTTCCAGATTTGCTGACATAATGAATGCAAAACCTTGATGGCATTCTCATTTAGGTATCTGAATAGTTCGGCTGGAACTTCATTGCATTCACTAGCTTTATTAACAGCAGTGTTTCTTATTAACAGCATCTACTAGCTTTATCCACTTGACTTTGCACTCCAGAATGTCTGGCTCTGGGTGACTAACCACAGCATTGTAATAATCCAGT